ATATACACATATACACATGTACCAGAATCATAGGATTGTTGGAAAATGAAACAAAGCCAGTGCGAAATTGATGGAGAAAGTTCTTTAAGGATTCTAGCTGGGATTTCATCAGGACCACAGGCCTTACTAGGGTTAAGTTCAGAGAGTTGCTTGGCTACACCTTGGGAGTTGATGATCAAATCTGAGATGGAGGTGTATGGAGATTGACCTTTATTTGGAATTGGAGCATTCTCACGGGTGAATACTGAATGGAACTGGGAGTTAAGGGCGTCAGCTTTTGATTTATCAGAAACACATAATTTGTCGTTGAATTTTAAAGGAGGTATTTTTTATTTTTCTTTCTATACATATACACATATACACATATACACATATACACATATACACATATACACATATACACATATACACATATACACATATACACATATACACATATACACATATATATACATATATATACATATATACACATATATACACATATATACACATATATACACATATATACACATATATACACATATATACACATATATACACATATATACACATATATACACATATATACACATATATACACATATATACATATATACATATATACATATATACATATATACATATATACATATATATATATATATATATATATATATATATATATATATATATATATATATATATATATATATATATATATATATATATATAGTCAATTCAAAAAAGGTTGACTTACGAAGTTATGTATTTATGTATATTGAACATTGAGTGCGCAAAGAACTTTGGGAATTTACATGTAAGTGAACGGCATAAAATTATTTTGTTGCAATGCCAGCCCCATACAGCCAAGATCTACACTGGAGAGCAATTTTCTTAGCCGAAATATTAGATCTTGAATTAGAACAAGTAAGTTTTTACCTGCAAATATCACAGTCAACAATAAAACGTTATGTAAGAAAGTTCAGAGAAATAGGAAATGTTAATACGGCTATCATCGGCCGGCCATACAATTGCATATCGATGCATCCTCACGAAGAGCTTGTGATCATGGAGATGGTGCAGCAATACCCTGAAAAAACCATTGCCGAAATACTGGACAAAGTCTACGAGGAAACAGGATCGCAAAATGCGTGCTCGACTCTGCACTATTATTTGAAGAGGAATGGCATAACTCGAAAGAAGGTTGGTAAATATGCAAGGGGGCAAGGCATAACTCAATATTATTTTTAAAATGAATTCTACGGAAATACCTGCAAACTAACAGCATCGTACAATCCGACTTTTAATTACAGCTTACCAAAATTGCACAACAGAGATCTGAAGATGCAAGAGCAGAATTTCGTGCTTCAACATGTTTACTCCCCCCAGAAATATTCGTTTTTTTAGATGAAAGTGGCTTTGTAAGTTTAACGACATTTGCATTTTTTATGGGCAATAATTTCAACATGCGGTTAACGGATATATTAATGCTGTCTTAGTATACAATTCATTTCCTTAATTATTCTTGAATATTTCCACAGGATAAGCGAATCATGCGAACATACGGCTACAATTTGTGTGGACAACCAGCAAAAATATATCGCCGGCATACACACTGGGGTCCGCGCATAACAGCAATTCCAGTGATATGTATGGAAGGCCTTCTAGATGTTGGTGTCTACCGAGGACACGTAGATGGCGAAACATTCCTTGCATTTGTCAACAATATCCTTGCGCCATGCCTGCTGCCGTTTAATGGTTATAATCCACGTTCCATTGTCATACTTGGTACTGTAAATCACTATTTTGCTTATACAGAATACTGTGTAAAATTTAAATTTTTCAAAGGTAACTAACTTTTTTATTCATCCAGATAACGCTGCAATACATCACACACAAGAAGTTATTGATGCTATTAATGCCACTGGGGCATTGTTAATATTCTTGCCAGCTTATTCGCCCGATTTCATGCCTTGTGAAGAGCTATTTGCACAGACCAAAAGCTACATTCGTCAAAACGACATCGCATGGCAAAATTGCCCCGATCCAGAACTGATGGTATGGGAATCATTTCTCCAGTGCACAGATGAAGAAATAAGAAACTACATACATCATGCTGGCTACATGTGAACATGATTTGTACAATTGTTTTATTATTTTACAAACTCAACAATTCATTTGCAAGCTTTTTCTTTTGTGCTTGAAATTCCTCTGCATCTAAAACTCCAGTCTCTTCTAGGTCTTTCAAGTCTTTCAATTGTTGAATTATCATTGAACGGAGTCGTGCCTATAAATGCAATTCAAATTTCTTCCCGTTATACAAGTGATTTGAATAAACCTATTCACAAAGCTACCAATTAATAGCCTTTTGTCATGCTACATGCAATGCGATTATTTAATTGCATGCGTTGTTGAGATCAGTCTAGATATTTGCATGGTCTAAATTTCAGAACACGTCTTTTATGGGTCCGGTTTCTAGCTTACTATACATCATGCTTGTTTGCCATGGCTATATAGCTTTACCACTGGAAAAAAGCCTTCTTACAATGCACTTCAGAAATACATTTTCAAAAATAATATTACCAAAAATAGCAGTGACATACTTTTGATTCCATCGATTGAGGCATTGACACTGTTGTTGTTATGGCTTCAGTTGTTGTTGATGATGTTGTAGCTGTTGTGATTGCCCTCACTGCAGGGGTCGATGTAGGTGAATTGTTTCGTTCTTGACCCGCTTTTAATCCAGTAAAAAACGGGATTTTTGGAGGCATATCATAGTTGCTGTGAGTACCGTTGCTCTTCAAACAATATATAACAGAAACTTTGTAAACAAAATGATGGTGATTGCTTTCCATTTCAGTTCTAGTTTACAAGAACGTCAAATGATTGCAGCGCTATTTCAATTAAGGTTGACATCGATAATAGTCAAATAGCTACAATAACTACAATATGAGCGATGAAAGAATGATGTAAAAATTATAATTTTCAATATGTTTGACAGATCAGTATTGCATCGTTTGCAGGTTACCGAAATATTGTTCAAATTGTGCAAGCGTGTTAAACATATTTTAAATCTGTGATTTTTGCGTTTTCGTTTGACGAAATCATAAAATTTGGCTATTTTGTCCATGTCAATCTTCTATGTCAACCTGTATATTCATTGTATGCACTTAACATATACTGCACTTACCAACATTTTAGCCCAAACTTTAAGTTTAAATTCAGTACAATCGCCTCCATGTTTCTGTTTTAATAGCTGTATTATGCTCCCCATGTTGGTTGCTGAAGATGAAGTTGGTGCTACACACATAAAGATTAATGCACAAAAGTATTTAGGAAACGTTATAAACACATTTTTCAAATGAAACACGTGTGTTTCTGTAAATCTGGGAGTGTTACCACAACACCGAAATCGGTGTAAAGTCTTGCAGCTGTGTGGACACCGATTTAGTGTTTACTTACACTCATTTTGGTGTTAAAATACACCTTTTCAGTGTTAAATAGATGCAGCTGTGTGAACACCAAATCGGTGTAAATCTACACTACGAGTTTAAAATAACACCTCCGAAGATCTTTTCACACTCTTTTGGTGTAAATAGCTTGCAGCTGTGTGGACACCGATTTGGTGTAAATCTACACTACGAGCGTAAAATAACACCTCCGAAGATCTTTTTTACACTGTCTTGGTGTAAATAGCTTGCAGCTGTGTGGACACCGATTTGGTGTAAATCTACACTACGAGCGTAAAATAACACCTCCGAAGATCTTTTTACACTGTCTTGGTGTAAATAGCTTGCAGCTGTGTGGACACCGATTTGGTGTAAATCTA